CAATATATATATATATACACACACACACACACACACACACACACACACACACACCCATTTAATAAAGTAAGTGTGTTAGTGTAAAAAGTAATGCTGGTAGTGCAAGGTCCTGAGTTTGATCCCCATTACAAAAAATAAAGTAATGCTTGTACACAAATATAAGTACACTTGATGAACTGGAAACTAAGTGGAGTTTTTGAAAAATTGGAAAAGCAAATGGGATACAGGATCAAAATGAAGAAGCAAACCAAAGGCCACACCATGAACACAAGCTTTAAGCTTGGCAGTGTCAGATGTCGTGAAGACCTTTGCATTCTACTCACTGTGTTGTGCCAGGCAGCAAGTATAAAGATTTTTGCCTGGCTAGAAGAGTGAATGTGGGCACAGAAATGTGATTGATTCTCAGGAAGACTAAATAAGGGTATCATACTAAAAACAAACCCAGCAGGGGAGTGGATTGAATCACAGAATAAGTACTGATGGAGATTAGATTGGTATACTGAAGGGTTTAGTGGAAGGATTTCTCCTAAGATGAAGCACAAAAGGGTAAACAGATGGGAGGTAGAAAAAGTTTTGACATATTGGGTAGATGGAGAATCCAGTATTTTTCTAATATTTATTTCCAAAGAGAATAGAGGGCAACAGTTTAGCTAAGAAAATTTCCCAGAACTGGAGAATATGTCCTTAATGGGGTGATTGTGTTTGATTAAATTTTAAAAAGCCCCCACCTAGACACAAAGATAAAGTCCTGAAAGTGTCTAAACCTGATAATGGTATGAATTTAATAGGTCTTATAATTCAGCATCTGGCAGAATCAGTCTCACACCGCCTTTCAGAAATCTCACTTCTCTCAAGGTGTACCTCATGGAAAGTACTAACTTTAATCTGAGGTCTTGATCCAAGCAGGCCTTGATTTCTGAAGCTATCAGAGGCAGCTCTAGTATTTTTCACTCCCTTTCATTCCTCTAAGCAGTTACTTTTCCCTCAGAAAAGTCCTTGCCCTCCAAGACCTCACATTTAATTACATGTTGCATATTAAAAGTTTAGAAACCATGGAAAAGGAAAATACTAACTCAGTAAGGATCGTGTGAGGGGAAAGAGTCAGGTTGCCATTTTAAACAAATGGTCAAGGCAGCCCTCATGGAGAAGGTGACATTTAAGCAAAGACTCAAAGGAGCTAAGGGATATGTCATTTAGGTAACTAAACAAATAGCTAGTGCCAATGGCCTTGAAAAACAGCAATGAAACTCTTTGGTTCTGGGAATAAAACAAGGAAGAAAACATTAGAAGGTAAAGTCAGATCAGGGAGGTGCTTCTGGTCTGGTACAAAGATCTTTGGGGACAGTTGCAGGGTCTTGACTATATTTAACTAGAAGAACGGCATAATCCGAACTTGGTTATTGGGATCTTTTTTTTTTTTGGTACCAGGGATCTAACTCAGGATGTTGCACTTGTGAGGCACTCGTGGTGCCACCGAGCTAAATTCCCGGCCCCTGAACTTGGTTATCTTTTGTCCACAGCTAGTATAAGCCACAGGCAGTTAGTTGCCCATAATGAAATACTTTTAGGAGTCTTTACTACAATTAGGTAAATTCCAAGTACCCTTCATTTCCCTGAGGTTCTGCTGTCTCTATACCAGTGTTTCTATTAGTGGGATTTCTTTAGTTGCCCACAGAAGTCAGACTGGCTAACTTAAGCAAAAATGAAATTGATTGAAAATAAAAATGAATAACTAGACCTCCAGAAGTTTGAGAATCAAGGTAGCCCCGAATATCTAGTTAACAAAATTAACATCGGAATGATTCCATTCTAAACATTAGGCCACTTCCTTGAAGAGTCCCATTTTTAGTAGAGTTATTCCTAGTTGGAATTCCAGGAGTGGGAGAGTGTCAGAGTTTGTCCCGTCACTGTGGAGAATTTACCTGCACCTGTGCATTTCCTGTGAAGTGATGTGTAAGATTATTTGTTGGGGTAGTGTTGGCAGTAGCAGATTGTATCCTAATTGAAGTAAGATGTATCTAGATAATGGATATAGAATGTTTAGATTTTTTTTATAAATATGTAGTAGTAACTCATACATTTTATATGGAGTTTTGAAGACTGCCTTGACCATCTTTGCTTATCCAGTTTTTTTTATATACTTTTGCATGTGCTTGTTAAATTTTTCTTTTTTTTTGTTTTGGAGATAGGGTCTTACTATGTGGTCCACGCTGGCCTTGCACTTACGGCGATCTTTTGGCCTCAGCCTCATGAATGCTATGATTATAGGTGTGTGCCACCATACCCAGTCTGTGCTTTGTTAAATTTTGAGACATGTTAGGATGGTTTATTAATAGCTGCTACCACATATCCTTATACTAAAATTACTTAGCTAGTATCAGTGTATATTCTGTCATAGTACCATATTCTGTGTATATGAGAAATTGTTTTTAACCAGTTGCTTAGTTGGGTTTGGTGGCGTACACCTGTAATCTCAGCCCTTGGAAGGCTGAGGCAGGATGATTGCTGTGAGTTCAGGGCAAGCCTGTGCTGCATAGTGAGTCCAAGGCCACTGTGTAATGAGACCTTGCTTGAAAAACCAAAACAAAATCCATACACACAAAAACTACCCAGATGCTTAAGTAGAGGGATTGAATTGTTCTGCTGCAAAACAAGTTCTAGATGTTAAGTAATTGATTTTTCCCCACTGTAGCTCAATAGAGCATTCCAAGAGGAGGATTCTCCAGCTACTTTTTACTGCATCAGCATGCAGTGGTTTAGAGAATGGGAGAGTTTTGTGAAGGGTAAAGATGGAGGTAAGTAGTTAAATGAAAAGTGAAATTCTTAGCAAATATTTTGTTTATTCATTTGACAAATATTTTTGAGTGTCTATATGCACTTAGGAATATACCAGTAAGCAGGGAGAAAAAGATCTGTGAGATCAGAGATTCTTTTTTTGGTATCGAGGATTGAACTTGGGTCCCTGCGCTTGCAAGGCAGGTGGCGGAACCACTGAGCTAAATCCCCGGCCCCAGAGATTCTATAGTCCAGTTTATATTCCTGTTGTTTGTAATTTTTTATAAACCTGTTTTATTATAACATTCATAGTGGAAATAAAGGGACTGAATATAATTAGTCTGTGATCTAAATATTGAAAAATTTAAAATATACAGCACGAGGAAGGAAATTAAATTCTGATTTATCTAGTATAATGGAATATTTTGTGTACTTTTAAAATCATTTATGGGATAATATTTAATAACATGTGAAAAAAGGTTCCAGTGCTGTGTGTATAATTTGAACCATTTTTTAAAGCAAACATGCAAAAATGCAAAAAGACCACACAGATATTAAAAATTTGCATATCCTTCTGTAATGAGATTACAGATTCTTTGTGCCTACTTTAGAACTTTTGATAAAGTGAACATGCACTGTACTTTTGTATTCAAAGGAAAAATAAAGCCTTTTTTTTTTTGGTACCAGGATCAAACTTGGGAAATAAAGCCGTTTTTAATTAAGAAAGGATGTATTTTAACATTTTATAATTCCTTTGTTTTTTAATGTACTTTAATGTCAATCTGAAACAAATTAAAAATTATGTAATTTTCTCTATTGAATAACAAAGTTATTATTCTTTTATAACATTAAAGGTACATATTGATTTGCAATCCCTAAGTGGATAGATGAGAAAATCATTTGTATTATACTTTAAATAGGACTTGAGGGAGTCTCTCACTTTTCCTTGTTCTGTTTTGGGACAGATAAGACCCCAAAAGGAAGAAGTGCTGGAGAAAATATTAAGAATACATTATAGCAGTGATGGTGAACTATGGCATGGTTGCTGTAGCAGACTGTTATCATTGAAACCTCTAAAAGGTCGCCACCACTGCATTTTAGGGCTCCATGATAGAGTGCATGGCTGGCATGCACAAGATCCTGGGTTTGGTCCCCAGCACTGCGAAGAAAAGAAAAAGAAAGAATAGGCTATAATAATTTGGCTGACAGTCTGATTATTTGGTTACAGCTCTCACTTATTTCAGGCACAAAATTATGTAGTTCTTTGGTGCATTTACTTGAAAAGTGCATTTTGTTAATTCTTTTCTCTTTTCAACTCAGATCCTCCGGGTCCTATTGACAACACTAAAATTTCAGTCACGAAATGTGGTAATGTGCTGCTCAGGCAAGGTAAGATTGCCTAGTACTAAAGCCTCTACTTGTGGGTGATTTCTTACCATTAGGATCATATAAGCGCTAGCCATCTTGGTGCTTTCTTACCTAGCTCAGGAATGTATTTGAAGCTGGGGATGTGGTAAAGTGCTTGTCTAGTGGGTATAGAACCTAGATCCAAACTTCAGTGATGCCAATGGAAGGAGGGAAAGAACAGAGAAAGACAGCCAGCAAGAACGAAGAAGTCCATACTTGAATTATGTCAAACAGTGGAATGCAGCTGGTGTTTAATTTTTAAATCTTGAGGAAAAGCTTTAAGGTTGTTGGTAGGAGATAGGAAAAAAAAAAAAAACTTTTTAAGGCTGAGGCAGGAGGATCACTGAGTTTCAGGCCAGCCTGGGCTACATAGTGAGTTCAAGACCAGCCTAAACTACATAATGAGACCCTGTCTTAAAAACCCAAAGTTTTTAAGAAAAGACCATTCATGACAGCTTATTTTTTTTTCTTTTTATTGAGATTATTGGTACAATCTAGGTATACAATACAATTACATTCATCATTGGGATTCTGTACCTTTGTATAATAGGTCTTGATTCTCATTTTTCCCCTTGTCCCTGCCCTCCCTTCACCCCCTCCTCCCCTCCCCATTTACAAACACTTTATTTCCATTTTTTCAGTTTCTCATATTTTTT